AAGTTGAGAAACTATGAGGTGTAAAAAAACAGCTTTTTAGGAAAATGTCTGTGAGAATGAGGAGAGAAGGAGGTCTGAGTCATATCCTACAACAGAACTGTTTGGATCACCACACCATATCTGTTTTAATGCCACTTTATTGGTAGTTTTGGAATTTATTGTACATATCAAAGCAATTTGGGCCATTTTAATCATACTAATTAATAACTTTAACATATAACATAGTATTTATTTTCCTCCCTTTTAGTCCTATATATATATATATATATATATATATATATATATATATATATATATTAGATGCCATAGGGAAAACGAACGCTAATGTGGCGTGATGACGTCATCAATATGTAAATAAGCACGTGACGTCATCTGGCGACATCTAGTGACTTTTGGGGGGAACTTCAGCTACTTTCAGTCAAAAACAGTTGGCAACACTGCTTGCAGAAGATTTAAAAACATATTCTGCAGCAAACCACTAGGGGATGTGTTAGGATCCAGCTGTGCACGCCATCTAGTTATTTGATTTTCTTGAAATAAATATCTGTCTTGAATTTCATTGAAATAATAAAAATATTATTAGTTTTGTGAAAAACACCTGAAACATGTTTAAATGTAAACATTTACAATAAAAATTGAAAATAATAGAAATCATTTAAGAAAAAAACATGAATAGGAAGTTCTGCTCTGCTAAAACAAGTGTGAAAACAGTATTAAGAGCCTTAAGGGGAAACATATTGAATATTGAAACATAAACAAGCTGCAGGATATAAACCAGAGGCTAATTTTCATCCTTTTAGCCTGAACCAATCATTCCAGAGTGGAAATAAACAATGACAATTCTTAGAGCACAAAAACCACCCAAAAAAAAAGTTAATAAAATGCACAAACACACTCAGTTGCTTGCAAGTGGCTCAATCAAGTGCCGACTGGGGACGCGGTCCTAAGTGTCAGTATAAGCCTCGACTCAGCATTTCTCCACAAACAGAAAGCCAGAGAGACAATTGCTCACCACAGAAGGCTGTTATTGATCTGACGCTTGCTGAATTTCATCCATTCTGCAGGCCAAGAGAGCCAATTTGCAGAACAAACAAATATTTTTCAGTTAGGCTGTCTTGAAATGAATAATACCATCTGATGAGTGCAAAAAATTAAGAAGAAAAATATTTTATCTTGTGAACATTTTTGGATGGGATGGTTGATCAAAAACCTACAGACGTTTTATAAAGTTGCTGGCACTGCTGATCTGTGCTTCCACTAAGAAGCTACCCATAGCTCCCTTGAAAAGGAGATTAACTGAATGGGACTCCCAGTAAAATGCTGTAAAATTATTAAGAATAAGAAAGCAAAATGTTGGAGAAAAAGGTTGGAAACGTTGAAAATAAAACTGTTATTAAATCCCTCATAGACCTGGACTGACTCAAGGTCCATGTTATATTATATATATTTTTATACCCATTTTAGCACATTCACAAAATGAGCATCTGCAGCTGCAAATAGCTTAAACTTTAGATCAAAATATATGATTTTACAGAGAATTATAATGATAGACTTCTTATAGGGCAGCCCAGTGGTGCAGTGGCTATGCTGTTGCTATGCAGCAAGGAGGTCCTGGGTTCAAAAATCTCAATCTCTGCATGGAGTTTGCATGTTCTCCCTGTGCATGCGTGGGCTCTCTCTGTCTAGAGATTGCCGGAGATAGGCACCTGCCCCTCACGACCCTGAGTGGACAAGCAGGTTTTTATCAGTGATGTTGCAGGATGTGTAGAGATTTGTAGTTTAATCCTCAATTACAATAATGATTAAAAATACAGTCAATTTCAGAGCAGTGGCATTAACCTCCTTGACTTACCACCTTGCCCCCAACAGCCACTACCCTGCGTGCTTCAGTTATTTTCCTGCTCCAGCACACCTCATTCAATGCATGATGATGGCCTTCAAGGACCAGGACTGGACATCACTGACATACTCAGCCATTTTGATATATAACTGTAACTATAGACAACAAATGTGGAAGACGACAGGATTTGGAATCTTATTTTCCAATACTCAGACATCTCATCTCTAATGGACTAACAGCAACACGACTCTACCACTGACTACATTTGCTCTGAAACGTTAATGTTTTATCTCCACAAATAATGCAAGCCTGAATGAGTTCTGCTGTGTAGTGGTATTGCGAATGCTGATGGTTAGCCTCTATTAGCTGAGACATGCTCTGCTCTCTCCTGGATCCAAATCAACAACAGCCTTCCCCATCGCTGTCACATTGTGTTCCTGTGTTCCCCTTCTTGTCTCACTCCTTGTGTCTTTTTTAAAATTCCCCTTGCCCTTCGTTCCAGTCTCGATAACTCCCAATAATTTCCTTCACCCAGAGTCCCAGTTTCATCTTTAGTTTTTTATGTCTTATATTTAGTTCTGTAATTCTTTAGGTCATTGGTTGTTTACTTTAGTTCTTCAGTGTCTTTAGTCCTACAGGTTTAGGTTAGTTTTTGTCTTACAGGTTTTATGATTTAGTTTCCTCCTCTACTTTGTTTTGCCTCCCCATTGAGTTAATTAGTCTCACCCGTCTTCCATCAGCTCTCACTCCCCACACACCTGCCCCTGATCTCTTGATCACTATACCCTGTATATAAACCCTGTCTTGTCTTTCAGTGTTTTTTTGGTGATGAAGCCTTACTAGGGGGTGACAGCAGTGCTCGTGGCTTGGACTAACTGTTTCGGAGTTACATCAGGCTGGGGTTTGGGCTGACTTAGAAGGTTGTTCAGGTGGTTGGCCGACGGCCTGTACAGGCCCAGTAAGACAGTGGCCCGGCTTTGCTTCGGAGCAGCCTCGGTTGTTGTTGACATCGGGGAAGAAGGGGACGAGCAGGGCTGGCACACTGGTTCAGTCGGTGGGGGCGGCAGTGACGCATCGGATTGTGACTGGGATGCGAAGCTAAAGCAACAGAGGCTAGAGGAGGGTGGCTTTGTGATACGAATCAGGGCGGTGGGAGATGCGCGTTTTGCCATCTCTAATCCGTTGGCGGTGTCCAGGGAGCTGAGTGCCATGCTAGGGGATGTGCTAGATGCTACTATGGCGTTCAGTGGGCTGTTAGTGGTGGTGTGCCGGAATAAGTCACAGTGCCACAAAGTGCTGCAGCTTGAGAAGTTTCTGGGGGTGGACGTGGTGGTTTCTGAGTCGAGGTCTGGTTGTGTGATTAAGGGTGTGGTGTACCGCATTTCCACCGAGGTCACTGAGTCGGAGGTGTTTGGTTCCATGAGTGGGGCAACGGTGGTGGCTGTTCGGCGTCTGGGGTTTAACACACGTGGGTCCACTCCGCTGCTGATTACTTTCGACACGGTGGAGCTTCCTGCTTGTGTCCAGTTGGGCTTCCTAAGTTTCGCGGTGAGGGCGTACGACGAACCTCCTCTGAGGTGTTTTAGGTGTCAGGGACATGGCCATGTGTGACGACCCTTGTCCCTTCGGTCCTCACAGTCATTTTTTATCTGCACCCTGGCCCCATCACTACTGAGTCTTCGGCACCAGGGGCAGTATCAGAGCGGCTCACTCTCTCTGTGGCACTTCAGGACCTTGGAGAGAGGCACACTAGCAGCAAGAGCAGCTGCTCCAATTCAGCCATCATGCGGACCTGAGGACCTTAAAAGTAGATGGCAGCCTTCATTCAAGGAGATCCAGAGTAGTCTGTGTTTCTCCTGAGCCGGTGTATTAGTTTGAAGCCACGGTTAAGCTGTGGTTTTTACCTATCTTGGAGCTATTAAGAATTTAGCCGTTGTTCCTGCTGGACTTGGTTTGTACAGAGAGTTAAAGCTCTCTTTTGAGTGCTTTCCCCCGAGGACTTTAAAGCTGGGGATTTCTGATTTAGGTGTTCTGGAAAAATTGGCCGTGAGACCTTTTCTTCAGCTATTTTGACTTGGGTTTTCAGTTACACACCTTTATCGCACTGTTCTCTGCTTTGTCTAATTTTGCCTTAAAGAGAATGACTCCCTTGTTTAATAAACCGGTTTGATTTTTACTCATCATCTAATTATTTACACCGTTGCACACAACTCCACCTGTTTTCACTATGTTTGTCCCTTCATCCTCTTGGACGGTCAGGGAGGGACATAACACCATGTGGCCGGTGCCTGTGTGGTGGGGGTGCATTCTCGGAGGTGCGGAGGGTGACCATGACGGCAAGAGTTGTGACTTACCGCTCCGATGTTATAACTGTGGTGGGAACCATCAAGCGGCTTACAGGGGCTGTGAGGCGTTTAGGGCGGCGGTGGAGGTTGGGAAGGTTCAGCCTGAGCATAAGGTGTCATATGCTGAGGCGGTGCGTCATATGGGGGTGCGGAATAGTGGTGCGTCCGGGCCTTGTAATGTGCCTTTGTCAACTGGTGGTGGGGATGTGGGGGCGGGTGTGGTGGTTGTGGGGGATAAAAGGAAGTTTCTGACGTTTCTGGTTGAGGCCTTGTGGAGGGGGAAGAATGGAGCATCCAACAGGTCTGATGTAGCTCATGAGAAGACAGCAGTGGCAGGGGCCTTGTTGGGTTTTTCTGACGTGTCCCCCAAGGAGGTTTGGGGGGCGACGTGTTTGTGGGGTGTTGGGGGTTCTGAGTCTGCTGTGGATTGTGGGATGCCCTTGGTGGTGGGTATTGATGGTGGGGATGGGAGTGTGAGTATGGGGTGAGCCTCTGTGCGGGGTTGTGTGTTTTCACTGGGAAGTGAGCGGGTGGTGGGTTTTTTGGGTGTTGGCGGTTATGTGGGAACATGGGGTGGGATGATACGTGTGCCTGTTGTGTTCAGTGGGTTGTGCTGGCTGGTGTGGCAGCAAAATGCCTTATGGGTGTCTAGCCTGCCTTATTTCATCGAAGAAGAAGAAGACTAAGAAGTGTTTGTTGGTTAGTTGTGTGTGTCTGCGTGAGTGTCACACCTGTTGTGTGTCTGTTGCCTCCCCTATTCCTTGAGTTTTTGTTTTACATCCCCCCCCCCCCCCCCCCGAGCCATGGACTACCTGACCACTCAGAAATAAAGACTTTGTTTTTTCATTACACCATATCCCAGTGTCGTCCGAGTTCCTTCACTTGGGTCCAACCATCCCCTGATCATGACAGTCTTGAGCCAAGATGGACGAGTCCATGAATTCTAATTTTGCCCCATCTATTTTTTTTATTGGTGGCTAATGCAGGAAATGGGGGTAGAAGACTATTTTCACATTTAGCCTGCATGTGAACTTTTGAGTAATTTAAAAATAACAAGTCAAAAGTTTCTCAGTGAACTTGGTCTTTAAGGCTTTAGCATTTACTGCTCATTTGAAAAAGTAGCGCCAACAATCATCATCTAATCAACTGGCTTCAAATTGGCCAACACCATTAGCTTTTTAGCCAACATTTTATTCAATAATGTAACTTAGTTACAGAAGTTACACAAAAAAAACATGTTTGCCAACATTTATTTTTGTGAAACCACCTGCTGCACTCATGCTGACAAGTATTAGGATTTCAATTAGTCTGAGAGGCTAAAATGAGAACAAAATGGTGGAAATACGAATCTTTTAGAAACAAACTGAAAACAATGACAGAGTCATTTATGCATCAGTAACATGTATTTGTTGTAAATGGATTGGCAGCAGCTACCAGGACCACTGATGACCATTTTTTTACAGAGCACAATGATGCCAAAAGCCTCACAACACACAATTGTTGAGCATATGCCAACAGTAATCTGCTCGCTGACATGCAGCATACTGAGCAGCACACACACACACACACACACACACACACACACACACACACACACACACACACACACACACACACACACACAAATGTATATGAAGTCATTAATCCTTTGTAATATTAATTTGCTGCCTTCTGATAAGATATAAAACCCTTTAATGGGCTAGCTGAATAATCATTGTACCAGCAGTATCACATGGGAGAGGCCTTTGTCTCATGATGAATTATCCCATAACTGCGTCAAAGAGTGTGCATGTGTGTATTAATGGGAGAAAGACACTGAATAAATCAGGAGAATGATTCAACATTGCCGTTTGATGTGACAGCTAGAGGATTGTATCAAGACGTGAGATGGTATAGATCAGACATTTTACAGGAGACATCAACACGAATTTAACAGGGAAGGCTCGGCAAATTTGTATTAATCTTTAAGTAGCCCTGGGGGGGTGGGGGGGGGTTACTCCCACGTGCTTAAATAGAATTCAGAACATAAAACACTTCATCATTTTGTTTTTCTCAACTCCATCTCAGCAAAGAGTTTTTAGATGTTTAAAAGTCTGAAAAGAAGGTGGTGGTACGTTCAAGATCTTTATTTTTAACAGGATTTTTCTTCTCTCCAGTCATAACTGTCACTGTCAAGAAGCAAAAGTTCAAGATGAAACATCTTTTGATTTGATTTTCTTTTTTTGCAGTGAAACCACATCTTTATGCATGAAGCATGGACACCTCCGTGTGCACAACACACAGAAATGCACACAAACATGCCGGGTGTGAGACCATCAGTAAACCACTCCGAGTTTCTGCCGCCAGAAGTACATTTTACTTTTCTTTGGTTCACACAAAATCTGAAGAAACTCTTTCCTACACTCCAACAGTGTCACATTTCTACTCAGTCAAATGTAGACTTAGAAGCATTTGATGTAAAGGTGAAAGAAACTAAACTCTCTGAACTCTGAGGATTTATTTTAAATCTGAATGTTTTATGTCAAGACTTTTCACTGACATCCTGCCAAAGACGACAATTTAAAATGTCGCCAGCTATCTGACCTGTCAGCCTTCCACTGATCGACACCGAACTTGGACGCAATCTGAACATAGGTGCCCTTCTCCTCTGTTTACACTCAACCCCCAGAGGGATGTGCAGGCAGATCTCCATCTGAAAGAATCCCAAGGACAAATTAGACCCGTTAATCAGTCATAACAGGAGTAAGTTGTGACATCACTGATGTTAGAAGTTTAACGTGCAGATTTCTCTGAATTCCAACTCAGCAAAGTAAGAACAAGAACAACGAAATGTTGTAGCAACTCCATCTGCATCTTTAATACAGCGCATCTCAAGATAAAAAGGTGCTTCGTACATTTGCATCCAAATAAACAGTTTAATGGCCAACGTCTAATCTGAAACTTATTTGTTTAACTGAGGGTTCTTTTGTTAAAAACAAGCAAAGGAAATATGGGCTGTAGATGTGGAATAACAAAATGTTTCATTAAACCAGTGGAATAAACATTATTGTAAAAAAATAAAAATAATCCTCAGTTGCAGCTACATTCATGAGACCGAATGGAGATTCTGATGTGCGCACGTTCCCGAGGCTAGCTTTGCCACAATGAGGCAGAGGTTGCAATCTTCCCTGGCTACGTGTCAGGAGTGGCCAAGGCCAACGCTGCGTTCACTGACGTGAGGAAGCTTCTTCGAGGTTGACAGACGGAACGTTGTGGCCTGCTCTTCCCACCAAAGCTTTCTGTCACCCATGATGATAAAATATTTACCGACCTGGAGTCAACCATGGCAAAATAATCATCGGATCGAAAAACTAAATGCTTCTGAGCTGGGGCTGTCTTGGGGTGGAGGATGTGCAGGTCAGAAACCCTTCAGGACATAATGTTTTTGTTTAACAAATGCTGGTGGCGGTTATGTTCTGGCTGGTGCCTTGGCCAGACACCGGGACAGTTTTTACTGGTGAAATGGCTTCAAGTCAGATTTGATTTTGTTCTGTTTATTTCATTTTTTTCATTGTTCATTGTTGTGGATGTGTTGGGACTGTTCCTGATTAGCCATTGTTGTCGGGCTGAGAGAGGGTTTTTTTCTTTCTTTTGCCTTGAGAGACCAGTCGAGCATAGTTTGAACTTAGTCTCTCTATGTAAGCACAGAAATATGTAGATTTTTTGCTGGGAGCAAATGTGCTCTCCAGGTTTTGTGGATTGGATGGGATGTTGTTTTGGGGTTCTGCTGGCAAGGGGGCCTAGGTTTAGGACTTTGTCAAAAAAAATCCTCAGTTGCTGCTGAATGGACTGTACATGTTTTCACGTATTTTGCCATTATGTTATCTGAAAAAGAACTGCAAGAGAAAACAGAAAATATATGATGAAGATATTTTACAAAGACATTTATCAAAAATTTGTAACAGTCATACAGATAAATCCATCCATCTATCCATCCACTTTCTTCAGCTTATTCGTAGCCGGGTTTCGGGGGCAACAGCCTAAGTCATGAGGCCCAGACCTCCCTCTCCCCAGCCACTTGGGCCAGCTCCTCTGGGGGAATCCTAAGACGTTCCCTGGGTCTCCCTTAAGGTCTCCTCCCAGTTGGACGTGCCCAGAGAACTTCACCATGGAGGCGTCCAGGAGGCATCCTAATCAAGCCACCTCAACTGGCTCCTCTCAAAGTGGAAGAGCAGCGGGTCTTCTCAGAGACTCTCCCAGATTACCTAGCTTCTCACCCTATCTCTAAGGGAGAGCCCAGCCACCATGCGAATAAAAATAATTTCGGCCACTTGTATCTGCAATCGCGTTCTTTTGGTCATTACCCAAATCTTGGGACCATAGGTGAGGGTAGGAATGTAGATCGACCATTAAATCGAGCTTTGCCTACTGACTAAGCTCTCTCTTCACCACGACAGACCAGTACAACGCCTGCATCACTGCAGACGAAGCACCAATCCACCTGTCGATCTCGCGCTCCAGCTTTCCTTCATTCATGAACAAGACCTTGAGATGCTTTAGGCAGGACCTTGTCCCTGACCCGGATAAGGCATTCTAACTTTTTCAGAATCAAGACCATGGTCTCAGATTTAGAGGAGCTGCATCCCAGCTGCTTCACACAGATAAATACATAAGAGGAAAACATTTAAGACCAAAAACAAATTGTAAAGTGTTACTGTGTGAACATTTAAGATCAGCAAGCTAGAAAAGTTCTTCAGACACTTTCAAAGGCTTTAAATAAATAACATACCGGTAGATAAAAATGAGAGCATGTTTTTAATCAAACCCAAATTGATAAATCTTGTTTGGAGCAAACATTCATGTGAAAAATAGAGTCAACGTGATTTGGAAGCATCAAGGTAAAAGTCTGCTAAATGATGCTCTGGCAACATGAAATTAGGTGATATTCTTGCAAAAATATCATTCAAAGTGTGCAATTCGTTCCAAAAAGTAAAAGAGGAGTGCAAGCTATAACCTGGCCTGACCTCATTTATTCTCTGCCTTTAATCTAACTTTAACTTCACTGTAAAAATTAAATGTTTTGTCTCAAAATTTGTGTGATGTCTATTGTTTGTCTCAGAGAAAATTGGGCACTGTCATACATTCAGTGTGTAATTCATTGTGTTCCATTTAGACAATTGTGTTTCAGTTTAGCTCTTCAGTGTTCTTTCCATGCTTGGTAGTGTTCACCCCAAGCCCCCACAATGCGGGTGAAAAATTAAGGCCAACGCGTAAGTGACAAAAATTGCAGTTCCACCCTCATCCGCTGGGGGCTGGTGACAGAAGCGAGCAAATCCTCATTGACTCCCATGTTAAAAATACCAATTTCACAGCAGAAATAAACATGTTTACAGCCTGGTACCAAAACATGTTTTAGGTTTAAAGAGCAGGTCAAGTGTGCCTCAGAGTCCTTTTCCACCCACGTATCAATTTTAAAAACTGCAACATTAGTAGGTGTTGCCTGGCGGACCGAGAGGGCGGAGCCGCGGCAGTGACGAAGACGATAGGTAACGAGACGATGCTAGCTCCCTTCACTCTGAGCAGTCATTAGAAGTGGAGGACGTTTCTCCCCCTCCTTAACCAGACGCTCGAGAAGAAAGGGACCAAGTCTATTTGGAGGAGACAAGCGGACCTGAGCCTTATTGTTTTGAGCTTGTGAGTTGCCTGAAACTACCGGAACCGACCCAACAGAACCAGCTCTGAATGGTAAGTAGCCGTTCGCCATAGCATTAGATTAGCTGCAGGGTTTGGCTCCATGGCCCTAGAGAGCTAGTATTCAGCATGTTTTATAGATTTATCTGCTTCAACGCACCTGGTTTTAATCAGCAACAAAAGGTTGAGCTGCTTAACAGCTAATCTAATCTGTTAAAGCAGGAAAACCACTTAAATTTGCTGGATAGCAGCTCTCTAGGAGCCCTGGGCTTAAGTTACAGTCTGCTGCAGAGAAAGTTATGAAAATACCCCATGAGAAAATTATTCTGTAATGTGTTCATGTATGTTACACAATCCCAAACAGCCCACTAAAACTGGCCTGATTTCATTATTTATTTACTGATACCAGCTGCTCTCTTGGTCGTAGGTGATCCTCTGGTGTCTGCAGGTGGTCTCCTCTGCTGGTGTGGTCAGGATCAGGAGCTTCCAGAAGAATGTGCCTTTCAATGACTCTTTCCCCCTTATTTTTTATATTAATTAAATAAATCTCAATTTATATATTTCCTGTTTTTGTTCATGTCCATAAATACTTAAACATGCTTGAAATTAAAACGAGCTTTTAACAGTGAGGTGCTAGTTTAATTCATCACAATAGAGCTAGTTAAGCATGCAACAATGTGGTAATTCAATTAATGTAATTTATAAATATCCATTAAAATATAAAAACTGAAATCAAAATGAGACATTTTAGAATCACAAAAAACTTGTCAAACACAATATTTATTATAATAATTGAAGGCAGACAGGAGACAGAGCTGATGGAGATTCTCAGTCATCGAAGGATGGCCGGAGGCTTTCCAGGAACAGGAGATGTGGTGTTGTCTCTTCTCTCTCTATTCTGCCAGATGAGCTGATAGGTTACAGGTGTGTGAGGACATCCTCATGCTGTCATAACCAGATGACATAAGTTATCAGGTGATCAGCCAGGCTAATGATGAGATGCAGAAAGAAAACAAATCCAGGACAGTGTACAGTAATAATAATAACATGTGGTGTTGCTCACCTTATGTGCTCTTATAGAGTATTAACGTGTGCCTGCCTCATGGTGTAGAGTCCATATTTTGCTGAGTGTCCTACAATAATGCAGGCTATCAGTTAATTTACTTTTGATAGCAAAGAACAAAATATTTAACGTAAAAGTTATTTACCAGGTGAATCAGCTCACACATCACCACCAAGCGTCACAGGGCCAGAATCAGTAGCCTCCTTCATGATGTCATGATGTAATCACATACTTATTTAATTGTTAATATCTTAAAAATTCTGAAATGTTTCAATTTTTTTACCTTGAACAGTTCACTGAGCTTGCACTGTCACTGAGGTGGAAGCTGGAATCAACAGCAGACACCTCACATCTTGGTCTTTTCAGGGGTGTGGACGCTGCTCTGGGACTTTCTGGAAGATGAATTTCCGTCATGGTCCCTGTCACAAGACACACTGCGGCTGTGAGCTCTAAACTGGGTGGCTATGTAAAAAACAAAGAAGCAGCACATTTATAAATGTTTAAAAGAGCATAAAATCACGTGTAACATAATCTGTAAAACAAATTAAAACTAGAAGGTGATAATAAAATGTTTACATAGACGATTATTAAAAGTAATTAAACTTTGTTACGCCGGTAAGGCTTCACGTCAGCCTGGACAAGTGCATTCTTGCAGACTACTAAATCAGTCTGACAGCCAACGTCTTGGGTAGATTTAGCCTGAAAAAAAAATAGAAGCACATTGTTGTTGGAGTTTGTAAAGTCATAGATAATATACAAAATAAACTGTCCTATATAGGCGTTTTATAACATTCCTAGTGTGTGATCATTATTATAACGTAAAAGTCAGTCACATATGATGTGGAGAGCTTGAAATGCGACCTCCTGAACAGAATTCCTTACAGAACCGGGTCACGCTTTGGTGTAAAGCTGGATTTCACGCTGTAATGCTGTCTGTCAGCTAGTGCTGCGTTAGTTAGAGTCACTGTTGCAGAATTACCGACTGACACAAAAACAACACGAATTTTCTCCGAGCTTGACAGTAGTAGTCATGTGGACCGTTTCGTCGGTCAGGGCTTCGAGATATGTTCCGATTCGCTGCTGATTCTAATCTTACATCCCGTTCCACATTTTGTGAACTTGACTAATCAGCCCAAAGGCAGTGCAGACTGATATTAGCTAAATGACGTGAACCGCATCTCTCAAACTTTGCATTTAGGTAGGGAATTGTCTTTAGAAGATGTTAAAATTTTTATTTAGCTTACTCACCTCAGACTGGAGCCCGCCATGGTGGGGGAGTAGAGTTGGTGGGCTGCATCTAAAAGAGCCACGGTGGGCACGGCCTCCCTCTTCAAACGGAGACGTGCAGAATAACCCAGTTCAAACTCCATCATGTTGGCGAAGAAATCGTGGGAAAAATGCTGGTTGCAAACTACAGTACTAGGCGGGAGCTGACTATTTTCCAGTACACCGATTGCGCGCAATCACTGGCGCCTAATTTCTAAGTCCAGTAGAAAGGAGTGCAACCCCACAGAGCCACCGCAACCATACTACACTACACTTTCTCACCATACTAACACGACATGGAACACTAAACCCGTACTACTTTCCTAATAACACTAACAGCTAAACACTAACTAAACTACAATATCCAACAGCCAAGCTAACACAAAATAAGTATGTATAACACTAAAAGCTATGCTAAAGATTAGGATATGCTAATGCTATATGCTACTGCTGAACTACCGCAAACCGTCCTACACTCGCTTGCAAATCCAACTCCCAACTCGCCACAAGGCATGGCCGAGACTCTTGATGCTTTTATAACTTTGACACAGAGCTGCTACGTAGTACTCTACTGGTTTACGTAGTATCTTTCTCTTAAGCCATTGGCTAAAGTGTATTCAAATTGACTCACATTTTATGTTTTAAGCTGAAGGTGGCGTTATGCTGTGGTATTTAGGCAGAATTTTTAATTTTTAAAGAAAATGCACCAAAATGCTAAAATAATGAATACACACATTTTAAACACTATTAGACACTCATTTATACAGTTTATCAGCAAAAAAAAAAGTTAATTTAGACGTTACTTGCTCTTTAACTGATCTAGTTTACACTCATGGCAACTCTGAGGGGGGTGAATTTTTTTCTCACTGTTCTGTTTAAGTGTATTAAAAGCCTAAAATTCTGTATAATTAATGGGCATCCGACCCACGTGACCGCCGCCTCAGACCCACGTGACCACAGAGCTAGCTCCGTGGAAAGGCCTCAGTAGAGCCTCAGTCTGGCTTGGAAACTGTTTTGGGACTTTGAGTCTCTGTGTTTGTGTATTCTTTTTTGGATATTATTTGTGCAATTGTTGGACAAAATGACTTGCTGTGGCATTAATTGCATTAATAGAGCATCTAAGGAGTCTCCACTTCATTTTTTTTCGGTAAGTAAAATTATATTTATGTATTTTAGGTCACTGCCGAGCTGAGCTTAGATTTTAACATGTACTGTTTTACCATGAAATTTAAATGTAATAGGGTAAAACCCAGTGTATTTAACATAATGCTGCACTTTAGAAAATGGGTTGAAATATAACATGTTGGTGGAGCTGGGTTCCGACTGTCAGCTTGTGGAGGTCTCGGGAGACCTCGTTCTCCCCTCCCCGCAGCTTGGCGCATCTCTGTCTGATCATGGCTTCTGTCTGCTGCGCGGGCTGTCGGATCGTGGAGGTCTGGGATGGAAACCTTTCCACCCGGTTCTCCCCAGCGGCAGCTCTGCGCATCTCAGATCGCAGCGGCGCTTGTCTGCTGTGAGGCTGCCGGCTTGTGGAGCTCTCGGGAGGCCTCTGTGTTCCACCTGCTTTTACCCAGTGGTCAGCCCGGCGTATCTCTGACTCAGAAGCTCTGGTGTTGTGCACAGTTAACTCCAGTTGTAGCTAGGTTGCTACCTCCGTTAGCTTAGCTCCCACCTCCGTGTTAACTTTGGATTAGCTTCAGGTTAGCTTGTAGCTAGTTCAACCGGGTGTCGTCAGTTGATCCCAGCCTTACAGCCCCACCCTCAGCTCCACCTCTCTTCCCTTTTGTGGAATTGTCTGGGCTTGATGGAATCTGTGACACGGTCAAAATGGCGGTGGTGACCACCTCCCACTTTTCTTACAAAACGTGTTATTGGAGGCTATGGAAACCCATTGTCCATATATGTATATGCCGATGTTCCACCCAAAGGCTACTTGTGTTTAAGCAATGAATGGTATGTGTGTGTCATGTGAAAATGTGGCTGTGTTTACCAAATGAAAACACGTGGTCCATTTTGGGAACATATTACGCTATGTGATGGCTGGGTTTTGTTGCAAAGGGAAGCCACGGTTTAGGAATTTGTGTGTTATGTCTGAGTTTTTTGTGTGCAGTTTTGAAAGAAACGTACAGTTTTGAAAAATGTGTTTTTGTAATAAAAAAAAACTGTAACTGAATAATACAGAACTGTGATTACACATAGTTTAGGTCCAGGTGTAAGAGTCTCCATGCTGTTTTTACACAATGACTACAAGTTTTCTGTGACAATGTAACCCGTCAGATGTTCTTCTAGAGCTGCTTATTCCTGCTCAGGGTCCTGGGGAGCTGGTGACCTTCTCAGATGGTCTCATGTCAATCCCCTCATGTGCAATTTTCTGTTTTACTTTCACTCGTATCATAAAATGTGTATTTATTAGAATGGTGCAGGTATTCTTTCCCACTTTGGACTGTATTACCTGACAAATCCTACATTGTTACAGAAGAAACCGCTCAGCAATAACCAGCACCATTATTGATGGTTAAAGTCAGTTTTTCCACTTCTGTTTAAAATGGTCAAATAGCTCAAAGAGTGTTACTTGGAAGGTTGAATGATAGAAATCTGTCAATGCCCGTTTTTCATGAAGAGAACAAGAAATTTAAGATGAATGTAAATTCGCAAAATGTACAAAAACATCACCTAAGAAACGGCTTGCAATACTGATCTTTTAATGGAGTTTAGCTATTTCATTTGGGTCATGGACAGAATCATGAAGTTTTCTGCAGAAAGTTTCTTTAAACGTGTCCTCAACTTCCTTTCAATCAAACTGATTCTTGCAAATCTGACCACCAAATGATAAAATCTTTCCCTTTTTCATGTTTCTTACTTTTCCAAACTTCACATTTGAAATTTGCCATCCCATCTCTCGACTATTTAATCTAACTGTCCAACCTTCACAGGCTGCTTTTTATCACCCGTGTGAGACAATAAAATGTCTGCTTTTAACAGTACACAGCTATATGATTGGGAGCATAGGCCAGCCAGATAATATTCTTCCAGGCCCCCAGAATTCAGCTGATGAAGCAGAGTCCCCTGTAATGGCCTTAGCTGTGAGAAAGATACGGGTGGAATTTTTAAATGACTGCAATCCACTGCTCTTTGCTTTTTTCAAAATGAATTTAACAAAATGTTCACAGATGAAATGAAGTACAGTGCCATTAAAAGTGCAGGAAAAGCCAATTATTTCCTGTCAAAAAGGTCCAAATATTATACCTAACATCTCTTTTCCATCTGGACTCGTGTGTAGTTTTAGATTTGTTATTTTAATAAACAGTTTCTTAACTTTTTGTTTATATACAGTCAAGAGGAATGTCAGACAAATGCCTAAGGTTATTTCCTGAGAAACTTCAAAGTCCCACCTTCAAGTTTGAAGTCTCAAAGGACTAAAAACATCAAACACATCAGTCTGCATGTTACTTCAGAAGAATAAACTTGTTTTTACTTATTTAGTTCTGCTACATTTCATTTGCATATTTAACCTTCTATCCTTGTGCTTTTTTTCTCTCCATCTATCATGTCACACCAAATCAATTCAAGGACACCAAACAAGTCGGCATTTCATTCACTTAACGAGGGATGATGGTGGCCCACTTCCATATTAATAAAAATCATTATGCTAATTAATGTTTGGAGACGGTTAATTAAAAATGAGTGCACTAATAAGTATTTATTTACAGAGCATGGATGATTCTGAGCAGGAGGCTCAGAAACATGCTCACAGGTCAACACTCGTCCATCCTCATTAGACAGAGATCTGTTGAACTTTACTTTTAAAAGATAAACATGCAGAGCAAAAGCTGGAAGGACAGCAGTTAATTTCTTTACGTTTAAATATTAGATAAATCAAACAATTTGCCATTTTTTTTTTTTTTGTCGCTGTCGGGCAAAAACCTCTCATCTCAATAAATGGAAATTTTCAGGAAGTTAAAAAGCAACTTTGTAAACAAATACAGTAAATAAACTCCATGTTATTGCAAGTGTCCTTTTTCACTTTTTATTGACAATTCATCCAAAAATCCAGTGGTAATGTGAAGGTTGACCAATACAGCTTATGTAAAAACATGTAAATAATGAGAAATGGACATGCAAAATTTTAGCCCTACAGCAACATTTCAAAACAATTGTCTTTTTTGTTTTGGGAACAAAGGCACAACAATAAGATACTAATGTTGGAAACATCCCATAAAAGACACCCGTTTAGATAATTTGGTGAAAAATGTAAATGAACCAAGACTGTGACATGGACCAAAGTAGGTATACACAAAATATGTATAAAACTACAGCTTAGAGGCATTTTATGCAATTCAGGAATGCAGAACTGTCAAGTACACAGGTGGCAGGAACAGCCAATCACACGATAGCAAGTCTCAGCTGAGTCAATAGATGAGTTTATGGACGGTTCTATTATATTATTCTATAATAGCACCACGGGTCCCCAGAAGAATGCAAAAAGAATGCAAGTCAACGGGGCAAAAAACACTATTTTCTAACCCGCTTTGACTTACGCCCTGGATCACACATATGTTGTACTGCAATTTAAATGAAAGTAATGATGGGTGTTTCGACCACGCCAGTCATGTACTTTGAGATTTATCAGCTTGTAAAAGTTCATAATTAGCATGAATACAAACTAGAAATCGGCACTCCCAAAGTAGCTGCTAGTAACCAAATGACCAGATTTATGGTGTTTCTTTCTTCCTGTGGGAAGTTTGCTGAACTTACAGCCCTTTTCCCTCAGTTTTCTCCATGTCTGGTTCAGTGACGTCACTTTCGTGAAGCGCATTTGTACTTCTGGAATAATTTTCACACAAAACCTAAAATTGTGTTTCCCCCTGTTCAAAAATAAGCGCGTCCTTGGTATCAAAATGTGTTTTTAAAATTCCCGGACATCATATGTGAAATCCATGGCACAAAACAAGCGGAATTAAAAAATAACGGTTTTAGCCCCATTGACTTGCATTCTTTTTTTCATTCTTTCGGGGACCCATGATGCAGAAGTGACTTAGACTCTCTATAGGAAACAGGCTTCAACACAAGCGATTGTTTTCCGCTTGGTCCTAGTGCTCAACCAGTAACTATTTAATGTAGCGTAATGTTGTTTTTGGATGGTAAAGTGCGGGGTGGGGGTGGGGGTGTGGGGGGGGGGGAGGAAGTCATGTCTCCTGTCCCACCCAAAAACTATAACACAAAATATCATTACAGTCAATGTTTGGAGGATCTTACTATACTTTTATGGCAAAGACAGCCTTACTCTTCTGTGTGTGTGTGTGTGTGTGTGTGTGTGTGTGTGTGTGTGTGTGTGTGTGTGTACGCGCGCACGTGCGAGAAACCAGAAATGGTCCTACATTGGACAAGTGTTCTTGTGTTTATACTCTACTCATTTATTTGTGATTTACAGAGGTAGCTCCAAACGCTATCAAAGCTAAAGTAACACCAAGCACACCCTCTAAAAATCAACACTTAGGACCACGTAGGGTGAAGACAAAAGCCTTTAGCGAACAGTCATAATAAGTAGAGCAATAAAAACACCAGCACACACAAATACACAGTTCAGTTCTGTGCATTATTCATTTGCTGAAAGCAAAACTAATATTAACATAAACTCCCATGAGACATTCACACCACCTAGAATTAAAAAGGGCAGTTTAACTATGTTTGAACACAAAGATAAAGAGATGTGTTGACATTAGTGCAGCCATATTTTGGTGTATTTAAATGAAAAGTACAAAGATTGTTTTGCTTTTGTTAAAATGCCAGTCCAAACTTTTTTCTAAGATTGAATGAATCTCAAAGTAATTAAACCAAACATGTCGGTGTTATTTTGTGCTTGAGTCAGATTTGATGTTAAAAAAAAAATAAATAAATAAATAAAACAATTTAAAAGTTTCCTGGCCTTTAACATCCCTCTTGCATAATTCCCAGACGATTTTCCGAATGAGGTTTGGGGCACGCTGCTTGACTCTGATCATATTCTGATCTAATAACTAATTATGAAAAGACTATGAAACAAGCTGTTCTGTAATGAATTACCTTTATTATTCTTTTCAGAATTTGTCTGGCATCAGCAGGATTATTTTCCTTTGTCTGCTTGTCTTTTGTTTTCACACACAGTTGAGATGAGTGGAGAGAAAAAAAAAACACAAGACGATCCTCTGTTACCCGATTATTCAAAACAGAAGAGTCCCACTCTCAGGGGAAGTCTGTGTGTATCTCTGTATGCACGTATGAAGGTTCTTTGTGCTACCAACTGTGCCACCATGCAGTCCAAAACGTGTTCTACAAAGCCCCTAACTATTTACGTTTGTGTATTTTGCAGATTCTTTTGTCCGAAGTGACTTACAAATGAGAATGGTACAAAGCAGTTACTTTCGGGGCTAACAACAAACGACATGGTGGGAAGAGCCCAGGCTCTGTCAGGTGGTGCAGTAGTAGTGTTTTTCTAAACATGTGAAACCATTGTAGATTATAAAATTAACAACAAGATCAAAACAGAGCAGGAACCTTCAAAGGAATGAAAGATAAAGTAAAAATAAAGATGTGGAACACTGGTTTAATCGATGCATTTTCAGTGGTCTCTTGTATGAATGAATGCGTTGTTGTACTCTCGGTGCAAAAAGCTCCGGTGGGCCTGTTTCAGGATCTAGTAGATTCTCAGATCAGAGGAGAGATTCAGATGGCAGAATTTGGAGTCTTATTTCCTGATATTTGGACATCTCACCTTAGATTGGCTAAAAGCAGAGGTGTGGACTGGAGTCACATGACTTGGACTCCAGTCAGACGAGTCATTATTTTAATGACTTCTGACTTGACTTGATAAAATCCATAAAGACTTACGACTTGACTCGGACTTGAACGCCAATGACTAGCAACTTGAATCGACTTGCATCTGTTGACTTGATGATAACTCGAGCACATTTGATATTTAGCACAAAAGTGACACGACATGGACAAAAATCATAAATCATTCTTCATTCTGGCTTTGATTTATTGCTAAATGCAGCAGCACTTTGTTTATAATCAATTTCAGTTGCATTTTCTGCTTGGTTGAGCAAATAAATGAAGCTTTAGGAAGCTTTATTTCTGGAATGTATTCATTATTGTTGTCATTACATTGAAGTTGGACAGATGACTTGAACATTCAAAGTTAAGGACTTGGATTTGGCTGTCTTTGACTTGGACTTTACTTGAGACTTGACTGGAAAGACTTGTGACTTGCAAAGCAGTGACTTGGTCACACCTCTGGCCAAAAGCAATACAAATCTATGACAGACTTAGTTTGCTTTGCAATGTAGATGTTTTATCTCCACAAATAACACAAGTCTGAAAGAGTTTTTCCGTGTGGGGAGTTGCTATGCTAACAGTTATCTTCTGCTAGACTGAGACGTTCTCTGCTGTTTCCTGGACACTTAACAGCCTTTCCCATCACAAGTCAAGATAGGTGAGTCCATGAATGTCAAGTAACAGTGTGATGTCACTCTGTGAGGCTTTTCAAATCCTAGAATTTCTATCAGAAGCTAATGCAGAAGATAGGTGTAGAAGACCATTTTCATGTTTTGCATGCATTAAAATTTCAGAATGAATCAGAAATATTATTTCAAATATGTTTTTTCTGTGAACCTTTAAACAAAAAACCACTCATTCTGAATTTGACAAGACAGATTAAAATGAATGAAAGAAAACGTTAGTGAGTTGCTGTCCCATAACAATGCTTTGGGAAGCAAAGCTACCTGCATCTGGGTTAAAGTGGATTTTTTTCTGGTGTTGTAAGCAAATCAAACTTTCAGAAGCTTGTGTGACTTTAAAAACTGTTTTATAGAAACAAAAAATCAAAAGCTTTCCTGTAAAATTAAATGGTAGTAAGAAGTCGGAGACTTTTCTATCAGTGATCATTGTTTAATCCTTCAAGCTGTATCGCCTCTCCAATCGTGATTTTTGAGTAGAAACCTGTTGAGTCCTCTTGTGGACGTCTCCGGTCTGGGACACTGTCTTCTTCCTACAATGCAGTTTGTCTGAAAGTCTTTGACAGGGCTGCTGAGAAGTTTGACCACATTGAGAAGGAGAGGCAGAGAGTGGGAGGACTGGAGTCTGACATGAGTTTTGAACCCTTTCAGTGAGTGATTGGGTTCAGCTTCTTCTAACAGGAATAGGAGAAGAATGGGGAAATAAAGTGGAAACATAGAAATAAGACTCCCCTTGTTCACACCTCGAACAGACATCTTTCTGTTTGCAACAGTTCTTAAAGGGGCATTATGGAAGTTTGACAGCCAAAACGTGTATAGAAATAATAAATGTCTTCTTCATACATTCTCCTGCAATGTCCTGGTCCTGTAGAATGAGCCCTGGCATTTTTACTGTGATTGCCTGTTTTTCTGTAAAATCACAGAAAAAGAGAGCTGCTCGGGTCGAGCAGGCTGCTTCATGCGCGTTCACGCTCAAGCATCGCCCGTAGCATTTGCTATCAGTAGCTTTAGCAGCAGAGAGTGAGGTAGTGCCAACTCAGCGACTTTGTCGCTGTTCCTAACGCCTAGTGATGAAGCTAGCTACATTTCTGAGGACCCTTAGCTACTTTCTTCTAGATATTTCCTGCAAATTAGCAACAAAATAGCCATTTTTGCTCCGAACCGTTCTTTGAACGTAGTTTCAGCTGTCTCATCAACGGTATAAAAGTTACAGATACAAAAGACACAACTGGCACTTTAGCTCACCTAGTAAGACGACGGACTCTCATGCAGAAGATCTGGGTTCGTTTCTTGATATGAACATAATTTATTTAGAATTTATTTTTTACATCAATGGTATATTTTTTTACAGTAAGATGCCCAAATTTTTATTTGAGACTCGCCGAACGGCATTGGATTCACAGATAAAATAAGAAGTGGGTTCAACTTTAATTTAAAGTGAAAACATAGAAATAAGACTCCCCTTGTTCACACCTCGAACAGACATCTTTCTGTTTGCAACAGTTCAAGCAAGCAAATTTTCAAGCAAGGGAAGTGAAGCTCTGTGAAGCTGACGGACTGACCCATCTTAAACCTTTGTCGGCTGTGCTGAAGAGAAAGGTACAGAACCAACTTATTTAATCAATTAGCTGCGTGTTCTCCTATCCTCTGTCCTCCGGGCCACAGACACACAGACACACAGACACACACACACACACACACACACACACACACACACACACACACACACACACACACACACACACACACACGGGACTGTCTCAGCTGTTCGTTAAGGAGTGTGCATGTACAGCATAAGCGCCTCGTGCAAAAGCCTACTATTGAAGCTGCCGTTACGCTTTTGGCCTGAGGGGGCAATCGCCAGCATAAAAATTCAAAACTTCGTAAAGTCCCTTTAAGTACGTAGCCTCTGAGATTTCAGCCCCTCATCTGGAGATGAAATGGGTCTCAGCTTAACCTGTGTAGACCAGGTTCAAAGGGTCTATGATTGTTCAACATAGGACTGGGTGATATGGACCAAAACTCTGATTTACAATATTTATCTCAATATTTTTCCTCCTGTAAAATGTTTACAAGTGAACACCCTTCAAGCTGTCTACCGAAATTAATCAGCAGATTAAATGCATAAAATGACTGATTCTTGTCAAACATTACCCTTAGTGCCATTCACTATCAGTGTGAGCTTTAATAACACTGGTTCAGCTGTCTGTTAACTCACACATAGGTTAGATCTTTTTGTGTTTTTGGTGCCTTTTATACTGCATTTGTAACTGTTTTTATCTATCTATCTATCTATCTGTCTGTCTGTCTGTCTGTCTGTCTGTCTATCTATCCATCTGACTTTCTATCTATCTATGAGTAAGAGCTGCATGTCTCAAGTGCTTTTCTTTATAATATATTTATAATTCATGTAAAATATATATTTTTTATTTCATCTAGGGGTGGCCCATGTCCTGTCTTTCACAAAATTACCATTAATTATTTCTTGTATAGAAAAAAATCTATCAATTAGATTAATTTCATGACCTAATTACATCTACTACCAAATGATTACAGTCACGTGGGTCATGCAGCACAAAGCTATTCAAGTAATGAAGGCAAACATGGCTGAGATCTCACCGTGAGTATTTTGGCC